GAGAGGGCAGTGCAGAGGAAAGCCAGGATGAGCAAGAACCACAGACAACATGCTACATCTCTCTCTCTCTCTCTCTCTCTCTCTCTCTCTCTCTCACACACACACACACACACACACACACACACACACACACACACGCACACTGCCTCTGCGGCCCCACCTTAACAAGGCAAACTTGCAGAAGGCCTGACTCTTCCACTCTAGCTGCTCACACCTGTGCTGGCATTCCCAGCCACCGAGGAAGCTCAGGGGAGACTGGAGGCCTGTGACCTGAGCTACTGTGGTCCCCACCAGGAGCAGACAGCACTTCCTGCTCAAGCTACACAAGACTCCAGATCTCAGCCTGATCATGGCCACTTCCCTCCCACCTTCCAAACCTCTCAGAAATGTCTCCTGGGGTCAGCCCTAATGCAGAGTCACCCTGGGAAGAGGGATCTAGAGAAAGTCACAACAGAGCGAAAGTGATGGAGTATACAATCCTGTCACACCTTGTTTCACTGCTGTAGGCTCTGCAACTATATCATCTGGTCACCTTTTCCTCAGTCAACTTCACCTTTTATGTGAGAAGCATGACAAGGCTCTTTACTATACAGGTATGTGTTGTTGATTGTTTTCACTCTGTGGTCTTTTGGGGAGGCCTGCCACCCAGCTCCCATGTAAATCACACAAGGAGGCTTATGCTTCATTATAAATGCCCGGCCTTAGCTTGACTGTTGCTAGCCAGCTTTTCTAACTTAAATTTTCCCATCTACCTTTTGCTTCTGGGATTTTTTTCTTTTCTAACTTCTGTATATCTTACTTGCACTCTTAATCTGTGATTTGCTGTGTGGCTGGGTGGCTGGCCCCTAGCATCCCCCTCTCCTTGTTCTCTCATGCCCTTTCTTCTTTTTTTCTCCTTGTATTTATTCTCTCTGCCTGCCAGCTCCACTGATCCTTTCTCCTGCCTCAATATTGGCCATTCATATCTTTATTACACCATCAGGTGTTTTAGATAGGCAAAGTAACACAGCTTCACAGTTTAACAAATGCAACATAAAAGAATGCAACACATCCTTGCACTATCAAACAAATGTTCCATAGCACAAACAAATACAACGCATCTTAAATTAATATTCCACAGTAGGTACAGTGTTATTCTTTATATAGAAGCATTGGTCCAGCAAAAGAATTATATATTAGTTGATTATGTTTGTTCTTAAGAGAGTTTCCATCTTTCAGTATGTGACATACATTTAATATAGAGAGAATATAAATTTACTTTTACTAAGAAAAAGAAAAAAGTTTATATTTTGATTTGGGATTCTATGAGAACAAAAAGTAAGGTACAAAAATAAGAGAAAATGGATCAACTTTGGGACATTTATAGAGCAGACTACCACTCAGAAATGAAAAGGAACAAACTCTTCATTGCACAGAACCACCTGAATGAAGCTTCAGAGAAATGCTGAGATTTAAAGAAGAAAGAAGCCAATCTCAATAAAGTGTGCGCTAAGAAATTTTGCTTATATAACATCAAAATGATAAAATTATAGAGATGGAGAATTAGTGGTCAGGGTGGTAGTTTGTGGGTTAAATGTTAGACTTTAGGTGTGTTGATACGATGAGGAAGTATAGAGTTCACGAGATGGAAGTGTTCTAGACTTTGTAACTATAGTAGAATCTCAGAAATTGACACCTGCTATAAAACTGCAGAGAACTAGATATTCATCAAAATAAACAAAATACCTATGCAAAAGCTGGTGAAATCTACAAGATGGGAGGGGGGGGTGGATCCTAAGGATTATATCAATGCTATTTCCTGCACCCAGGACCACTAGCAGCAACACCCACAATGGTCTGGGTACTCCCATATCAATCACTAATTACGAAAACGCCCTTCAGGCTTGCCTACAGCCCCATGTCATGGAGGCTTTTTCTCAACTGAAGTTCCCTCCCTCGCAGATAACTCTAGCTTGTGCCAAGTCGACACAAAAACCAGTCGGGACACTAGGCCAACGCTTGGCTCATACCAAATGCTCAAAGTGTCTCTTTCCATTCCTTTTTTGCAGGTTCAGGTTATACAGGTCTAACTAGACATGGCAGCTCACTGAATCTGTAATCTCAACACTGAGGAGGCTGAGGCAGGAGAGCGGCCATGAGTAAAGAACTATCCTGGGCTACATAGTGAGTCCCAAGCCAGCCTTGGGTATGGAGTGACAGCAGGTCTCAAGAAACAAACAAACAAAAAACAGGAGGAAGAGGAAAGGAAAGAAAAACTATTAAGTGTCTGAAGTCTTCAGGGACCTTCAGTCCATGCTACCGCACCAGAACATGGGTTGCACCTCATTGACTACTCAAGAGGTGGCCACTTCGATTGGAACCGACCACGTGAACAGGACTGGTCTGCTTCTCTTCATGATAAGGTAACTATTCCAAGTCATACCCCGTTGCTCTCTAGACTCACAACTCAATTGGCCCATTAAAAAAAGAGGAGGGGCCATTGCTGTGCCTCTATTTGCTTTCTGTTGCTGTGATGAACACCACAACCAAAAACAACCTAGGGAGAGAAGGGTTTCTTTGCCTTACATGTCTGGACCACAGTTCTATCGTTTAGGGAAGTCAAGGCAGAAACTCATGCAGAGACATGGAGGAACACCCCTTACTCAGCTTGCTGTGACCACCTTCCCAGGAGTGGCACCACCCATAGTGAGCTGGATCCACCCACATCAATCATTAATCAGGAAAATGTCCACACAGGCTTACCTACCGACCAATCTGATGAGAGCATCATATTCTCAATTGAGTTTCCTTCTTCCTAGATGGCCCTAGCTTGTGTCAAGCTGACAAAAAACAAAACAAAACAAAACCCCACAAAACCAAAAACAACCTAGCCAGCACTCTTCTAGCAACCCACACAGCAAAGGGCCATGTCTTAGAAACCAAACTTCTCTGCATAAACAATGAACACCCAGAAGAGGTTGCATATTCCCCTTCCCCTGCTCTGCCACCCTGCCCATCAACCCAGCCCACGTCCAGGGGGATGAAGTCAAGCTGGTGATGTAAGAGGTGGAGTTTCTGCACACACTCCCTCCCTTCTCTGCCCTGGCAGAGCTCCTATTAGGAACTATTGAAAACACTTGGACAGCCAGCAACGTACTGGTACACATCCTCCAGCAGGCATTCAACCCTGGCCCTTTAAATGGAAACTGCTCAGGCCAGGGACCAGGGCTGTAAAAAGTCTGCATATGGAGTGCTGTGAGCTTATACAGCTTCAAATTAATCAACAGCCTCACCTACTCAATGAAAAAGCCCACCAAGGAAGCGTTCCTATTTTTAAGATTAAAAAAAGAAAAACAACTGGGAAATTAAAAAGGCTGAGAAACTGCAGCTAAGGCTACCTTGGGTTGAAAATCTACACAACTTTCCAAAGATAAATGTTTATAAAACATCCGCTTGGGAGTCAGACGTGTTTTCTCAGCCTCTTTAAAACATTAGTTTATTTGAAAGAATGACGTGAAAGCCAACTGCCGGGTTTCCTTTTGTAAGTCATGGGGCCTGAAGGTCCACGCTGTTACTTTGCCAACTGTTCCCAGAGATCAGTGCCATGAACTACGGCTCCGATGACAAGGATTGGAAAGCAGGTTTCGGGGCTAATACCCTGTGAGCTGTTGAGTCCTACTCACTCACACCAACTCAAATGCGGAGTCAAGTTACACTGAATGGAGTTCAGCTCTTGGGTTCCAACCCGTTCTTTCCCCAGAATTCTAAATTCAAGCGGATACCCCACCCTACTAACGCGTACTTTCGGTCCGGATCAACTACTTCACACCAGAAACGCTGTGTCATGATTCCGGAGCTGGGGAAGGGTCTCTGCGACCCCAGGCAGGTGCCTCACCACGCGTGCGCACTCGGCGTGGGTCCCGGGGGCTGGGCGCCGCGTGACGGACTCGGAGACTGGGGTTGGAGATGGTCGGGTTAGGGAGACTATCAGCGGCCTAGTACACAAAGCCTGGTGCTCAGGGTAGGGTCCCTGACCCCTCTTCCCAGCTTCTGACTGAAACACTCACAGCCTGGCAGCTCCAGGCGCATCCTAGGCCACCTGATCCGGTCCCCTCTACTCGTCATCTGCCCAGCAGTCTAACCTCCCGAGAGAAGCTAACAACTTGGAGCAACGCCACCCTCTGGAACCCTCCGATCGCCAGGAGAAGACCGGGAAGGGTAGGGAAGGGTCGGGTGCGAAGTCAGGTCTACCAACCCTGAATCCTCGGGAACCTAGCAGGGAGAGCGCAGTCTCAGGAGAAACTCAGTTCCAACTCCGCAGCCGGTGCCCCAGGAGCCAGGAAGCGCGGGAGAACCTAGGCTTAGCTGAGAGGACCAGGCAGAGCAGGGAGGTCCCTGAGTACCGCGGAGAGAACCCAAGACCGAAAAACAAAACAAAACAAAACAAAAACAAAAACAAAAACGGTGCAATGCTTGAGAACCGGGGCAGAGCCTTCAGAACCTGGAGCTGATCCTGGTAAGGACCAGAGGCAGAGCCAGGAGGACTCGGGACAGAGCCTGGCACAGCAGGATTGGGGCCAGAACCGGGAGGGTCCAGCCAGAGTGACGAGGTCCTGGGGCAGAGCGCAGTGAACCTCGGTCAGAGAGAAGCCGGGGCTTCGCTGACAGAATACTAGACAGAGCCGGGAGGACCTGGAGCCGAGTAGAAAGCACTGAGGATAGAACCAGGAGCACCAAGCAGAGGACCTGGGGCAGAGCCAGGGGAACCCAGATGAGCAAGGAGGGGCAAGCGTAAAACATAGTAGACCAGGCTGAGCCGGGAGAACCCGAGGTAAAGCGAGGAGGATCGGGCTGATGGTAAGAAGATCTAGGGTAGAGCCCGGAGGACAGAGCTGAAAGGGGAGGGCACTCTAGAGGAGGTACGGATGGATCCGTCAGAAGTGCCCCCGCAGTGCCACCTCTTCTCCGGGGACAGGTGAACAGACCCCAGGGCGCACGGGGCTCACCTGAAGGACAGCACGCACAGCGGCCGATAGGACTTGTGGCTGGTGCTGTCCGCCAGGCCTTTGCCCCAGAAGTCGTTGGCGAAAACGGCCCAGCGCAGCGGGGTCCCGGGCCGCACGTCGGGGTTGTTCACGATCGCCCACACGTCGTCGTGCACAAACTCGCCCCGCAGTGAGCGGCCGTAGCACAAGCAGCTGGCCCCGGCTAGCAGCGCAGCCGCCCCGGCCGGAATCAGCCCGCAGCGCGGGCGCCGCGAGGGCGC